GCTGCAACGGTCGTGTGAAAAACGGTCATAACTGGCTTCTGTCAGGGCCGTTGTAACTCTGAACGGTCACTAAATGAACTGGCCTATGTCAAGGACTATCAGTAACTGGGATGGTGGATAAGCTGGCCTCCTGGACATCAGCTTGGCACAAGGGACCGCAAACAGGCAGGAAATGTTTGAAGCTGGGTAAAAAAAACCTCATTTCAGGGTTCACACGCTGCAGGTCCAACCCCAATCCTCCCAAAAACACAAATGACAGACGCCTTCCTGTGCCATTGTTTCTAGCCAAACTGCAGGTCGGATAGGGAGCCACAAAAGTCACGTGAGACATGATGAGTCACGGACGTGTCTGATACAAGTCGTTGCTGCTGCCCTGGGCCGCCTTTGCTTCTTAGCTCGTGTGGGTCAGCTGGAGGGAGGGGGGAAATAGCGGTGGGTTTTTAATCTTCACACAGCAGCCCCAAGAACTGAATAAAGAGAATTTCCATTTTGCTTTGAAGAAAGCTAGAAGAGCCAGCACGGGAAGCTCTTGACGTACAACGGTTCATTTAGGGACCATTCGAACTGAAGAACTGACTTGGGACCCTTTTTCACACTTACAACCTCCCCAATGGGTCACGGGATCAAAAATCAGACGCTCGGTAAACGTCTTCAAGAAAAAAACACTGCAAGGAAGTGCAGTTGGCTCTTGAAAAAAGCATCTTTGGGACAACCAGGACCTTGGATGACGGAGGATCCTCACGGACATTTCCCCTATCCTCACTCAAGTTTATTTCACAACTCTTGAGTTTCAATGTTATGGCAAAACACATTTTCTCTACTCTTCTTCTCACCCTACACCAGAGGCCCCCAACCTTTTGGGCACTGGGGACCGGTTCTGTGGAGAGAGTTTTTCCGCAGATCAGGCAGTGCATGGTTTTGTGTGCTGCCTGCATCTCATGGATGGGGCTTTGCTTGTTTGTTGCTGGCATGCTGCAGCCCAGTACCGGTCCATGGACCGGGGGTTGGGGACCTCTGGATTAAATGATCACAACTATAAACATAAATATGTACATGTACATACATATACGTACGTACGTATGTACGTACGTATGAAATGGTTTAGGGTTTCCTGCCTGAGCAGGGGGTTGGACTAGAAGACCTCCAAGGTCCCTTCCAGCTCTATTCTATTCTATTCTATTCTATTCTATTCTACATTCTATTCTATATTCTATTCCATATATTCTATTCTATTCTGTTCTATTCTATATTTTCTGTTCCATTCCATTCCATTCTATTCTACATTCCATGCTATTCTACATTCTATTCTATATTCTTCTATTCTATTCTATATTCTATTCTATTCTACATTTTATTCTATTCCATCCCATTCCATATTTTCTATTCTATTCTATTCCATTCCATTCCATTCCGCATTCTATTCTACATTCTATTCTATTCTCTATTCTATTCTATTCTCTATTCCATTCCATTCCATTCTACATTCTATTCTATATTCTACATTTTATTCTATTCCATCCCATTCCATATTTTCTATTCTATTCTATTCCATTCCATTCCATTCCGCATTCTATTCTATTCTACATTCTATTCTATTCTCTATTCTATTCTATTCTCTATTCCATTCCATTCCATTCTACATTCTATTCTACATTCTATTCTATTCTATTCTATTCTATTCTATTCTATTCTATTCTATTCTATTCTCTATTCCATTCCATTCCATTCCATTCTACATTCTACATTCTATTCTATATTCTATTCTATTCTCTTTATCTATATAAGCCTTTGCTACAATGCTATTAAATCAATCCTGGCAGAACCCGAAGAGGTTTGACTGCAGAGTTCTTTTCCTTGCCAAGGGCTGCACAATTTTGCAGTCCAAAACCACCACAAAAAAACTCCAGGGGGCTCAGAATCTGCAGCTGTAAAGCAAACAGCCATAAAATAACTCCTAGCTTCGTCTCAGGTTTTTCAGCACCTGCTGTGAAAATGTCTTACAAACACCATTGAAGTATCTCAGAAGCCTAGGGGTTTAATGCACAGGCAGTCCTCTACTTACAACAATTCATTTAGTGACTGTTCAAAGTTACAACGGTGCTGAAAAAAGGTGACTTAGGACCGTTTTTCACACTTAGGACCGTTGCAGCCTCTCCCATGGGTCACGTGATCAAAAATTCCGACGTTTGGCAATTGACTCGTATTTATGACCACTGCAGCGTCCCGGGGGAGGGTACCCCTTTGGCGACCTTCTGAGGATCACAGTCAATGGGGAAGCCAGATTCACTTAACAATCATGTAACTCATTGAACGACTGCAGTGATTCACTTAACAACCGTTTTGCTTATCCACAGAAATTTAGGGCTCCATGGTGATTGTGCCTGAGCCCCAAGAATTGCTCAATTTCTCCCTGTGTTTTGCTTTAGAAATTCTACTTGAGTTTCTAAAATCAGGGTGTTGCTGGAGAGGGGAAAACCCCAGCGCAGACTCTGAAATTCCATCCCCAAATAAAAAGCATTTCTAGGCTAGATTCAAAGTGCAATTTTAATGCCTTCTTGGGAGGAAACCACAGGGCCTTGACTAAATAGAGATACAAAGGACTGCGCTATGAATTTTCCCCAACCACAATTAATTCAACAACAACTCCTGGGAAAAAACCTCTTTTCAATCCACTATTTGGTTAGAACAATTATGCCAATATTCTCCACCCTCTTAATTCATTATCATTGGGGTATTTCCTGTCACCTGAAAGATACATGACACACACACACAAAAAATCCCCACTATAATTGAAAATATCACCCAGCAAGACTGGAGGCATTTTACACAACAAGGTTGTTTGCAGCAGATGGAAAGAACTGATCTTAATCACAAAATAAAGCACACTACGTTGTTTGCTTCATTAAACAAGATGCCAAAATGAAACCGGGTTTCCCATTGTATTTTTTGTTCTGTCTATCTCAGTATTTCTCAACTTTTAAGATGTATGGACTACAACTTCCAGAATTCCTAGAGCTGGCTGGGACACTGGAAAGGGATGTGCCTTTTGTACACAAATGTAATAATCTAAAGTAACAACAATTATTTTTGGGGGGGGGGGGAACTTGGTAGGGTTTAAAATACCAGCAAACCACAACTATAATTTAAAGCCATATTACCAGTGCTGTTTTATTTATTTCTCCTGTTATGATAAACAAAGGCATCTATAGAATTTCAGAAATTCTTGAGGCCTTTCAGTGTCATTTTTAGCAATCTGGATATACTAACAATTGAAACTTAATAACATCTGCAATGTTTTAACGGTGTCTATTCAGCAATTTTAGGTCCACAAGCTCTATATAGCACAGGTCAAAACATCCCTCAAATGCTGCTTAATAATCAAGTTCTCCAAGGGTAAGCAAGTCAAACAGTATCAAGATATCAAATTATATGTAAGAAAGACAGGACTGAGTCCTTGACTGAACAAAGCAAGCTACAGAAATTGAGGAGATAAATAACAGTCTTCCAAATAATCATACGGAAAAACTTCCAGAACTGAAGTCCTCCTAAGACTTAATTGGGATTTTTTTTTTTTTTTGGTGTATTAAGATATTTACCGCGGATGTCATACAATTTTGCCCGCAATTATTACCCCTGTCAGTCTTACTAAAAACGAAAGTCCGCCTCTAAGCAGAAAGGCTAGAATAATCTGCCTTTCAAAGGAGCCTCAGAAAACAGCAGAAGCGGCCTAGTTATTTTTGTTGTTGTTTTGTTGCGTTTTTGCTTTGCAAAGCCACCGAAAATAAAATTTAAAAAAATGATGATCATCAAGAGCTGAGCCCAGCCGGGGCCTCTATTGTAGCCCTGGGAAAAGCCAGCACATTCACCACGCTTGGCAGGTTTTCGCAGCTCGGCCCCATCTGCCTCCCCTGCATTAATTCACACAACCCCCCCCCAAAAGGAGGCTGGGACACCATTCCCACCCTCAGAGCCCCCAGACCCAAAAAGACCCCCCTCCTTTTTTTTTTTGAAGGGAAACTTTCACTTCATCACCTCCACCTGGAATTCTGTCGTTAAGCGGGGCAGCCCCCCCCCGCGCTCTTTTTCCCTCCCGCCCCAGATTTCTGACATGACCCTCCCGCAAGTCAACCCCCTCCCCCACTCCCAGGCCCATAAGCCGCGGCCCCAAGGCCAACTTTCACACCCACCCACCCACCCACCCACCCCGGGTTGCCAAGGCCGGATCCTTCCCAAGCCCCCAACTGGGGCGGGGGTCTCCATCACGGGGGGGAGGCAGCGAGGCCCGGCGGAGGGCGGGATGCGGTGAGGGGCTCCTTTCCTTCCTCCCTCCCTCCCCGCCGCCCCCCCCGCCCCAAATGTCTGACACGGCCCTCCCGCAAGTCAACCCCCTCCCCCACTCCCAGGCCCATAAGCCGCGGCCCCAAGGCCAACTTTCACACCCACACACACACACACAGGCACAGCCGAGTTGCCAAGGCCGGATCCTTCCCAAGCCCCCCACTGGGGCGAGGATCTCCATCGCGGGGGAGGCAGCGAGGGTGGGATCCGGCGGGGGGGGCTCCTTTCCTCCCTCCCCCTCCACGCCCGGGGAAGGGAAGGAAGGGAGGGAGGCCTGCAGCGCCCCCCCTCCCGGGGAAAGACCCCCCCCACGCCCAGGACCCCCCCCCACAGGCGTCCTCGGCCTCCGCGGGCGGGAGAGGTCGGGCGCCCCTGGCTGCCAGCCCGGGCGGCGGCGGAGGAGGAGGCGGCGGCGGCGGCCCTGCCCTGCCCTGCCCTTCTCCGGGCAAGAGGCCCCGCGGCCTGCCCGGCCCGCAGCGGCAGGAAGCGCGGGCGGAGCGGCGGGGAGAAGCCCCCCAGCCCGTCGGGCCGAGGAGCCCGCACAAAGAGGCAGAGGCGGCGGCGGGCGCGCTGGCTACAATGTCTCCGCCGCCTCGCCACCATGTAGCCAGCCAGGCGGGCGGGCGGTGGGCGCGCTGGCGGCGGCGGCGGCGCTCGCTTACCCAGCGGCAAGGCCGTGTTGAGCAGGTGGGAGCTGCCCATTGAAGCGGGCTCCGGGCGGCTGCCGGGCGCGAGGAGGCGAAGCAGATGGCGGCGCCCCGACGGTGCCCCCGCCGCCCGCCCGACGCTGCGCCCAGCCAGGCAGGGAAGGGGAGGGGGAGGCGCGGCCCAGCCCAGCCCAGCCCGGGACTGAGGCTGGGTCCGCCCGCCCGCCCGCCTGCCTCGATCTCCCGGTTGCTGCCAGGCGGCGGCGCAGGAAGGCGAGCGGGCGGGCGGGCGAGGCGGGAGGCACCTACCCGGCCGGGCGAAGGCGACCAACAAGGGCAAAGGCGGCAATTGCTGAGGCTCCTCCGACGCGGCGTTGTTGCTGCTGCTGCTGCTGCCGCTCGGCCGCCTCTTCCGTCCTCCGCTGGCCGGCCGAGCCGGGCCCGCTGCGGCCAGGCGGGGCGCTCGGAGCGGGCCGCCGCTCTTGCTGGCGTCCCTCGCCGATCCGGTGGCCGGCGGCCCGTGGGGATCTGCGAACACGAGTCGGGGGGGAGTCAGAGGGAAGGGAGGCTTGAGGAGGCGTCTGGGAGGGATTGGGAGTCGAGAGGAGGGGGGAGAGAAGTGAGGGAGACGGGGTGGTATGGGGGGGGGGCGGTCACCAGGAGATGAGTTCTAGTTCTGCCTTAGGTATGAAAGATAACTGGGCGACTTTGGTCCAGTCACCAGGAGATGGGGAGTTCTAGTTCCATCTTAGCCATGAAAGCCAGCTGGGTGACCTTAGGCCAGGGGTAGGCAGCCTTGGCTCTTTGATGACTGGTGGACTCCAACTTCCAGAATTCCTGAACCAGCCATGCTGAGGGGAAAGGGAGAGGTTTCCAAGCTGAGCCAGGCTGGCTCGGGAATTCTGGGAGTTGAAGTCCACGAGTCATGAGGGGGGCCATGGTTCCCCCATGTTGGCTCAGAAATTCTGGGAGTCCAGAATTCTAGTCCATTTTAGGGACTAGAAAGCCACCTGGGTGACTTTTGGGGCAATCACCTTGAGCTCTGCCGCTGGGGAATTCTGGGAGTTGAAGTCCACACATCTTAAAGTTGCTAAGGTTGAGAAACCCTGCTTTAAGGGACATCATCTTTTCTTACTTGAGTTAATTTACTTATTACAGGTAAAAACAAACTTTGCAATTTACCACTATCATCTTACACTTGGTGTGATCAGATGACAGAGTTGGCTGTCTGGCCTAGTATGGGCTGGGAAGTAACCTGCATGGAGTCCAAGTCATAATTTCGATTTTTTTTTCCTTCCATGCAGTCTGCATTTTTATATATATGCATTTTATATATATATATTTGATTAACTAAGTGTTGATCCCTTGATTGCAACAGGAATTGACCAAACGGCTTGTCATCCCAGCCTGATGTTGTGGGCTGACAGAGGGATTGGCTCAAAGTCACCCAGCTGGGTTTTATGGCTGTGGCAGAACTAGAACTCACAGTTCCCTAGTTTTCAGCCTGGTACCTTAATCACCAGAGAATACTAGCTGTGGGATGATCACAGCAAATCCAGGCTGACCAGCCAGACTGAAGAATTGTAAAGCGTCTCTGGAGAAGCCCATTCAGCGACTTGGAAATTGACCTCCCCCAAAAACTATGTGAGATTCATAACGTGAAAATTACATCCATGAAATCACTAAAAGCCCAGATCAACTTTGAAGATATCTTGGGGAGGGGGTCCTTAAAAAAAGTTAAAAAGTGGGATTTTTTTAGTCAAACTTTTTTTTTAAAATCAGTTTGTCCAGTTAGAGATTTTAAGGGCCAAAAGGGGGGGGGGGAAACTGATAAGAGGACCCCCAGTTTTAGATCAGGATATTTATTCATCTTGCTGGGGGGGGGGGGAATAATATCAGACTGAAGAAGGATGTTGAGGCCATCCAGTCACAGGGTCCAAATCCAGCCCCCTTCCTCCTCTGGATCATTTGCAAGGAAATTAATCAGAATGTCAGCCTATTAGGGAATAGCAGATGGTCCAGTTATACAACAGGAGCTGGGAAAGATTACTCAAATGCACACATGTGCTTCTTTGGGGCACTCCAACCCAGAGCAGATCAGCAAATATTCTCCTTTCCTTCAGTGTCTATCATCCAGGTCCTGGTTGTCCCAAAGATGCTTTTTTCAAGAGACACCTGGACTTTCTTGTTTTTCTTTGAAGACGTTTCGCTTCTCACCCAAGAAGCTTCTTCAGCTCTGACTGGATGGTGGGGAATGGAAGGATTTATATTCTTGCATGAAGCACAGCTCCCACTTCTCAATGACTCAGGACACAGACAAATCTCCAAGTGGCCTCAAAGACTCTCCAAAAGAAAGCAAATGACCAGCGGTCTGCAAGGAGTATAAATCCTTCCATTCCCCACCATCCAGTCAGAGCTGAAGAAGCTTCTTGCAGGAGAAGGGAAACATCTTCAAAGCAAAATGAGAAAGTCCAGTGGCCTCCTGAAAAAGCAGCACTGAGGACACAGATAAGCCTCCAGGTGGCCTCAACGACTCTCTAAAAAGAATGCAAATGACCAGCTGTCCTCAAGGAATATAATCCTGGAAAAAGCACCTTTGGGACTATTTCTTTCCAGGACCCCATCCTTGAAGAGCAGGGTGCTTTGCCCACCGCTGGGTTCTTGCAAAGATTCCCCGGGGTTGCAAATCTGCACCGGGTTCAAATCCTGTGCAACGGAGGAGGCTTCCCCCCCCCCAGCAGGAAAATAAAAGTAACCCCCTGCCTTCTTCTGCATGGGGGGGGAGCGGCGTCAGGGAAGGGAGACTCCGTTTCAAAACTCTCCCTGCAATCTCAAAAAGGATGCATTTTCTTCATTTTTCCTCCTTTTCATCCCCCCATTTTTATTTTAAGCCGGGGGGGGCGGGAGGGGCGTGGAAGCGGATCCCATAAACCTGCCGTGGAGTTTGGTGATCTCTCCCATCCGGGAGAAACGCTCCGGAGGGAGACGTCAAACCAAGGATTGCGCGCAGGCGGCTGCCCGGTCGGGTCAACTGACTCGCATCATGCAGCACACCCAGGCGGCCGTACGTGGGGAAGGGGGCGGGGGCGGGAGGAGGCCCTGAACTCGCGTAATGGCCGTGCACTTCACGGGCGGCTGCCTCACCTGCCTGCAGCTGGAGCCACGGGCCGCGCAGCCAAGACATGCCCGGCGGAAGAAAGCAGGCCGGGTCCTCGCACGAACGTGGGAACGCGTTCCTCGCTCGCCTCCCTTATCCAGCGGTGGCAACTGCACGGGGGCACAAGAAGGAGGAGGAGGAGAAGAAACGGAGATGATTTTTTTTTTTTTTTGTGCAACTCGCCCTCGGGAAAATCTGACCGCGGGGAAGGGGGGGCTCCCCTCGCCTCCCCCCTCCCTCCTTGCAATTCAGTCGAGACCTTTCGGGTTGTTTGCATGGGGAAATGCACAAATACACAGCAAATCCCGGGCCCCACGCCCCAACAAGCAAACAAAAGAGGGGGGCCCTTAGCCGAGCCCACCGACCAAAAGGGGGTCGCTGATTCCTCCCCTTCACGCGAGCCCCCCCCCAAACTTCCAGCTGCTGATGGATAGAGGTAAGGGCATAAAGTAATACTCCAGCGGTTGGAATAATAATAATAGTAATAATAATAATAATAATAATAATAATGTGCAATCCCAAAACAACTGGAGCACCACTTGAACACCATCATCGGCATTGACAAATTCGCTATTAGTCAATTGCAAAAGGCGGCCTTACTAGGAACTGCTTCCATCCTGCGACGATACCTATAATACCATCAAACATCCACATCTGCCTATCCCAGGTCCGGGGTAAGGACTCAATAGGTAGACAAAATGCCAAATCCAGTCTGAACATCTGGATGACTGTGCGATGATCCATAATAATAATAATAATATAAAACCAACAATAATATAATAACACTAACAACAACCAACAACAATGCTAATCCTAAGGCAGGGGGTCTTCAGACTTGGCCCTTTGATGACTTGTGGACTTCAACTCCCAGAATTCCTCAGCCAGAATTCTGGGAGTTGAAGTCCACAAGTCATCAAAGGGCCAAATTTGAAGACGTCCTAAGGCAGGGGTAGGCCACCTCGGCTCTTTTATGGCTGATGGACTTCAACTCCCATAAAAGCCAGCTGGGCAACCTTGTCTCTCCTTCAGCCCAACTCATCTCACAGGCTTGCTCACAGGAGGAGAAAAGAGCATTTTGCTTCCTGGAGTTACTTTTAAAAATAATAAAGGCAGGATATAAATTGAATAAACAGGGCCGGACTCCCGGTGAATCTTGGTAGATTGTTGCTATGGGTTGTCCTTGACTTACAACTGTTTGTTTAGAGCCAGGGGTAGGCCACCTTGGCTCTTTTATGACCAGTGGACTTCAACTCCCAGAATTCCTGAGCCAGCATGGGGGAACTGTGGCCCCTTCATGACCCGTGGACTTCAACTCCCAGAATTCCTCAGCCAGCATGGGGGAACTATGGCCCCCTCATGACTCGTGGACTTCAACTCCCAGAATTCCTGAGCCAGCATGGCTCAGTATGGAAACCTCTCCCTTTCCCCTCAGCATGGCTGGCTCAGGAATTCTGGGAGTTGAAGTCCACAAGTCATAAAAGAGCCAAGGTGGCCTACCCCTGTCCCATACCATATATACCCTAGACCAGGGGTAGGCCACCTTGGCTCTTTTATGGCTCGTGGACTTCAACTTCCAGAATTCCTGAGCCAGCATGGGGCAACTATGGCCCCTTCATGACTGGTGGACTTCAACTCCCAGAATTCTTGAGCCAGGATGGCTCAGCTTGGAAACCTCTCCCTAACCCCTCAGCATGGCTGGCTCAGTAATTCTGTGAGTTGAAGTCCACCAGTCGTGAGGGGGCCATAGTTCCCCCATGCTGGCTGAGGAATTCTGGGAGTTGAAGTCCACAAGTCATGAGGGGGCCATAGTTCCCCCATGCTGGCTCAGGAATTCTGGGAGTTGAAGTTCACGAGTCATGAAGGGGCCATAGTTCCCCCATGATAGCTCAGGAATTCTAGGAGTTGAAGTCCACGAGTCATAAAAGAACCAAGGTGGCCTACCCTTGGTCTAGACCAAACTGGCTCTTTACATATTTATACTATGCAAATGTAATTATTATTAAATAACAGTT